CATTCCCTCAAATCTGATGACATCTAACAAGGATTAGAAATATTAGCAAACTTGGCCCCCACGCCCCCACGCCCATGGGGCTCTTGCAAGCAACTGTTGATTCAAAGTTCTACTTGTTAAGCTAGAAATGACTTTGCTAGATTAAACCTCAGGTGCTGCACACGTCCACTGTTGTTTTATTAAAACCTGTGCTGAATAAACATCTTTAAACGTACCTGAATTGTTTTTCCATTCATGGCTGTCACAACATCTCCGGGTTTATTTGCCTTCCCACTGGGCAAGTTCTCACAAAGGGGGGACAAACCTTAGATAGAAAGAATTCCAACTGAATTTACACAGAATGTTATCTGGTATTTAAAACCATACTGCTTTTAAAACTTTAATCAAAAATTCTTCAGTGGTGATATTGTTTCACTGGTATCCAGTTACCTGATGCCAAGACCCAGTTCCTTTGCTCACCCCTTAACAAGCAAACAAGCTGCAAACGCCAGCTCAGGGGGGTTTAATCCTTGCAAAATAGACAGCCTTGAAAATTCCTCTCCATCCTGTTCCCCATTTTGTGTTCGGCACTGAGTTGAAGGCAAAATGTACCCCCCCACCCAATCTATTTTTTCTAGAGGAATTAAACATGATAAATGTTGGGTCAGGGATTGTAAAAGGTTTTAGGGTTCACTGCTCCATATGGTATGGTCTTGTGAATGTTTAGACGACTTCTGGAACAGTATTTTAATGTACATAAACATTAAAGATGTTAATGTGATATTGAACTATATAGCAAAAACTCTGGAATCCATTAGGAATTATTGTTGTACTGGACACGGGGGGTGAACAAAATAATTATATTGAAAAATGGGAAAAGTGATTAGGATTCCAGACATTTGGCTTTTGGAAATGTGTAACTTTTCTGTTCTGGAAAAGGCAATATTTTCAACTAATCAAAGAATGAAGCAGTATGTCCTTCTCTAGCATAGATTTTATGACATTTTACAATAATACAGTGGTATCATTTGGTAATTACATTTTATTTTTTGTATTTAATTATAATATAGTATTATCAGTTATTTTTTGTAAACCAGCGACTATAAATTAAACATATACTTTTCTATTATATTTTAGTATGATCTTTAATATTAACCTTAACCCTTTACTACTGCAATTTGTTAAATTCTGTTAGGGTCTTTAAGGGGGGGAGATCTTTTTCTTCTTTTTTTAAATGTCTTGGTTTGTTTAGTTTTAATTATGTTATTATTGTTTACTCTGGTAGTCTATTTTTTGTATCCTTCTAAAATAAAGATGTAAGTTTGAAAATAAAACAAAATACAGGTAACCCTCAGTTAACGACAGCAATTGGGACTGAAATTTCCATCACTAAGCAATGCGGTCATAAAGCATGATATCATGAGACCATACTGCTTAGCAACGGCAACCCCCATTGGCATCTTGAAGCGAATTACCACAGGTTGTTAAATGAAGATGTCATGTGGTCACCATTTGCGACCAGCTGCTGGCTTCCCCATTGACTTTGCTTGTAGGAAGCCAGCAAAGAAGGTCGCAAATGGTGACCAAGGAATGCTGCGACATCGTAATTGTGAGCCAGGTGCCAAGCCCCTAGCACCTGGATTGTGATCACACGACCACAGGGACACTGCAACGGCTGGAGCTTCGAGGACCATTCAAAACACTCATTCAGCACTGTTGCAAGTTCAGTCATTGAATGAGTGGTCATTAAACGAGGGCCACCTGAAATAGAATAAAGACTGTCTTCTCACCTAAAACACAATGTGAGTAAAGGACAAGGAGAGCAATTGGGATGACTTACAAAGAGGCACATCCCAAAACTGGAACATCTACTGGAATGTCTGCACTGGGAAGACTCTTGATGATGGAATCTCACCATTCAACATTACCAGATTTTGTTTTGGAGAAGAAACCAGTGGGACAATCCAGCTTCCAATTTCAGCAGCTGCCTCAGTTTGCCTGAGCTCTTAGACTCAGTGGCTGCTACTTCCAGTTGGGGAAGCAAATCATGGAACAACTCCTCTGCCACAGACCTTGGGGAATCAAGATGAGCTGACCCAACGTGTGCTGACATCTCTTTCCAATCCAAATAACTTTTGTGAATTAATTTTTCTACAATTTACTTACCAATTAGATTAATGGGTAACCTTAACTCTGCAGCTGTGACAATGGCAGAAAAAATGGTGGCCGCACCTCCCATATCTGCTCTCATGGCGTCCATATTGGCGGAAGGCTTGATGGAAATGCCACCGCTGGGAAGAAACACAGAAATGCCACAAAGATGTGTCTCTTTGCCCAGCCACCCCACAAAACTAATCAGGAAAAAACTTTGGTTGGATGCTGAGCCACAAGTCTTTGTTTTAATAAATGAAAAAGTGTGGAAAATATGGCACTATTATAAATCTGACAGGAAGGGTCTATAAGTTAGAGAAACATTCAATTCAGATGTTCTGGAATAATACTGGAGAAGAATTAAATGAAGTCCAAAAGCTGAAATTGTAGGCGAGCAGGCCAATCAAAATCCAATTGATAGTGAAAATACTTTAGCACCATGATTCCCCATTGGGTGCCTCTAAGGTTCCCTTGTCCATCATTCACACAGGAGACTCACCCTGCATACTCCTTCTGAAGATGTCCCCGTTGTCAGAAGCCCATCACAACACAAGGGAGCTTCTCCTGTCCCACTCCCAGGCCATGACAGACTCGCCCTTAGGCAGTCTCATTTTAGCACTTATTTGTTAACTTTAATCTGCATTTTTGTTCTGTTTTTCAAAATTTCCTTAGCCACCTTGTATGCTCCCCAGAGGAGAAAGACAGAGTATAAATTCAGTAAGTAAGTAGAATAAATCTCCTAATGGATGGATCCATTGCAGAGATTTTCTTTAATAGAGCTTCTTGAGGGCAATCTCTGCAATGGATTCATGCATTAGGAGATTTATTCATTCCTATCTTTATATACAGGTGGAAGGGGAAACTTCCCAATTATTTCATGGCTCCTGAGTGGTCCCTTCCATGGTTCATGTCAATATCTGAAGCTGCACAGCTCCCTCCCTTCAAGACAGGGGACCAGGACCTGGAAAACGACTTCACCTAGAAACTACATGACCTTGGGAAGATGAATGAGGCTAAAACCATGTTTCCTGCAGTCCCTTTCAATGCACTTTGCATTGCATTTATCTGCACTTTCAAGGCACATCTTCTGGGAACAGGGAGGAATTAAATCTGCTCCAAAAATGCCCCTAAGAAGATGCTCACCTATCAAAAGTGATCCCCTTTCCAACAAATACCAATGGAGCTTCTTTGGGGTTGCTGCTGCCTTGGTAGTGGACTTCCAAAAAGACTGGGGGTTCATCAGAGCCTTTTGCAACACTCCAAAACGATCCCATTCCTTGCGCCTGTATCCAAGATTTATCCCTGGAATGACAGAGAACCATTCCCATCATTTCTTTCCCAATTACTGAAAGAGGAGCGGGAGGACGCATAGCATTCCCAAGTCTCGGCTTATCAACAAAATAATAATAATCTTTCTCAAATTCTAAGATGACAAGAAAGCAAATAAATTAAAAAAATGTTTATATTAACTGAGTTTCCCTTTTACAGCTGTTCTGTCTACAACATCCCTCTGCAACAGTTTCTCCTTTACAGTAAAACATGGACACAATCCTGCCCTCCTTATTTGCAGAGACTCGTGGAAAGGTGTGGAGCAGGAAAGCACTGCTCTCAGACCAACCTGCAGCAACCAATCATACTTTTCCTGGTTCCTGTATAAAATACCTCCTCTTAAGTCACTTTCAACATATTATCTTGAAGGCTTCCTTCTACTGTACAGCAACTGTAACCAACTGCCTTGCAAACAAACCTAGGAAAACCTGGCTCCCCTAGTTACATTATAACTGGCATTTAGGGATTATTTGCAAACACCACCATTACAATACATAAATCAGCAGATAATACACTGTTTCTTTGCTTAGTAAGTTACTTCCCCTTTTCTTGCCCCCCACCCAAAAGCCCTCTTGCAGCTTCCTACATCCTCTTGGAGCACCTGTTCTGTACAACATGGGCAACTGAATTCATAATGTTTTTCTTAACTTCTCTTAACTCACCATCTTGCTTGCTCAAAGAAGATTATTTGCCCCTTCTTACTGGATAGATCATCAAAATTCCCCAAAGGGTTGCTAAACTGGTTGCAACTGCTATAGCCGTTAAGACATTTAATTGCCTTGCAATTTCAATACTTTGTTTTACCATTCATGCTAATTTGCATTATGTTTTGTTACTTTTTGACTGTTTTGAATATGAGTGCCTCTTCTGGTTTGCATGCTTTGGATTGTAAAAGCAATAGAAAGTAATAAATATTCTTGATTCTTGCAGGGGGGAAAAGCTTGCAGTAAGATCCCCCCCAGACCCAGGGTGTGCACACAAATTATGTGTACAACTGTCTTTTACCTGCAGGGTTCCTTCAAGTCACAGTAATAAAATTTACAACCGCGGCATTTCTATTTTCCCAGCATGCACTACAAAGCAGAAATAAGCAAGGGCTGTATGGAAGAATTTAAGCTATATATTAATAAATGGTTTAAACGGATATTTAGCAAGCACTAGAAGCAAGTAGGTATGCAAGAATGGTTTCTATATTGTATTTCTGGTTAGGCATCAAGAGGAAGTTGTCAGAACAACTAGAGGTTAGGGTCCGGGTTAACGAAGCTCTGTTTGATATTTAGCAGATATATTTGGTGAGTACAACTTAGTGACTTGGTCTATTTAAACTTTGTCTTCCATAATTAATTCGTAACCAATCACATTCATAATCTTGTATTTACTTGTCGTATGATTATAAATACACCCTATTTCCTTTATATCAGGGTCTGGCCCCTGGAATGTTTCGGAACATGTCCCTGTGTGTGCTTGACCTGAATCTGGAAACCCATAATGCATTTTGGAGACTGACTTATTCTTGTGTCTTGCCTGAACAGACAAAGCAAACCTCAGCTTGAGAAGGGAAATGGGACGGAAATTCAGGAGTTTGGTCTTACAGATTTTTCTCCAATAGCTGCCAGGCAGAGCAAAGTAAAAAGACTCAGAATTCTACAGCAGCTGAGAGCCATAAAGGATATTTATGGTTTTGATCACACAGGGAAATATGGAGAATTTCCATAGGAGGTCTAAATTAACAATGGGGTAGCTGCCACTAGGTTGCATATGTTAGTGGGTTCAGATGCATAAGCCCATGTTTCTCAGCCTTAGCAACTTTAAGAAGTGTGGACTTCAACTCCCAGAATTCCCCAGCCAGCTTGCTCAATTCTGGGAGTTGAAATCCACACAACTTAAAGCTGCCAAGGTTGAGAAACACTGGAATAAGCTATTTGATGTATTACATAGCACTGAAGACAATGGCAGGCCCATAAAGCAACACTGGTACCTTAAATGCTAAGCCATGTTAAATAACTTGATGGAGGGCCTGCTCTCTTTAATTGTTCTGAGAAATATGGTACCAACAAAAAAAACCTCCTTAAACTGAACTTACCTTTTATGAACAGTCACATTGCTGAAGCTTTTCAATTTGTCCTCAATGATGGTAGCAAATTTGGTTGGTGTGATGTGACTTGCTGGTCCTTCCATCAGGTATCTGGCCAAGTTCTGGCCTTCTGCATAGCGAATACCTTTCTCCCAGCCATCAGTTCCATCACTAAATAGGAATGCAGAAAGTTTAGCTACAAAGTACTGCTGCGGGGTTTCTTTATAGTGGCAAACAAAACAGAATTGTAGAACTTCACATTCATGGAAGGGAAGATCAAGCTCAGACATCCAATCTGGGAACCACATTCTCTCTTTCTGCACACCTGAGTCAGCAGGAGAGTCTTCAAAGACAACAACAGATGCCTGGAGGGCAGGGTGGGGAGCAGGAGCACATCCAAAGAATTGCAGCTTGCGAGTGCCAGGGCCGTTTCTTTCTAGGGAGGTGCCCCGAATGAGAAGGAAAGGGGGTCTGAGGAAGAGAGCTGAGGTTTTTCAAGCTGGACAGCTCACACAGGATAATGTTGGCCTGGACTGTGTTATTCTGGGAAAGAAATGGCAGACTGAAGATGGCTCCATGAAAAGCAGAGCTGACAACCACGGTGCAATGAGGAGCCGGCGAGTAGACCAGCTTTTTGATAATTCCTCTCCAGACAAAGAGAGGACTTGAAATTGCCCACAAGTGCTCCAGGCAGCTGCTTCTCATGAGGAGACCACCAGACAGTGGTCTCCAGTGGATTTAGAGCTCTGGGAGACAAGGGAGTGGCCATTTTATTACTCAAACCACAGCCAGCACCTCTAAGGGCACTGGGTTCACATGCTTCCTTTTCTAATCACTTTCAGAAATTGCTTATTAACTTCTTTTCAGCTATTAGGAACCTTTAGATCAACAAGTTTTACAAGCACTTCAATCCTCAGCAAAAGAAATTTTAAATACAAGTTTAAGGACTTAGACAATTTTTTTTAATCAAAAGAGTGATTAAAACTCTGATTTTAGAAAGTTACAAACGGACTAAGGGTCCAGATAAATTTGAAATA